TGAATTGTTAAAAAATGAAAATATATCAATTTATGGGATATAGTAAAGCATTACTAAAAGGAAACTTATAAGATTAAATGAATACATTAGAAAAGAGGGGAAGTCTCCAGTGAAAAAGCTTTCACATGGAAAAAGAAGAGCAAAGTAAATTCAAAGCAGGTGGATGAAAAAAAAAAACAAGAATAAGAGCAATAAATGAATGAAATTAAAAACAACAGAATAGTACAGAAATCAAGGTAACAAAAATTATTGAAAAGATCAATAAAATTGATAAAACTCTAGCAAGACTCATAAAGAAAAGAAGAGAAAAGACAAATTACTAGTATCAAGAATGAAATAGGGGATAGCACTCCAGATTCTGCACACACACTACAAGAGTAGTAAGTTTTATTTTTCTAATAAAAGGGGTTTGAGGGGTGCCTGGGTGGCTTAGTCGTTAAGTGGCCATTTTGACTCAGGGTCCTGGGATCAAGCCCTGTGCTGAGTGAGTTCCCTGCTCAGCGGGGAGCCTGCTTCTCCCTCTCTGCCTGCTGCTTCCACTACTTGTGCTCTCTTTGTCAAATAAATACATAAAATCTTTAAAAAGAAAAAAAAAGTAAAAGAGGGGTTTAAAAACATGATAAACTGCCAAAACTTATTTAGTAAATTAGGAGAAAAAAGCTAAACCTTAGAGAAATTAAAAATTACAGCTCCTAAAGTTAAACTCTTAATGTACAGATTAAGCATGTCTTTGGCATAGCTGAAAAAAGATTTGGAGAGCTATAAGATGAATTTGAATAAATTACCCAGAATGCAATACAGATATGGAAAAATAAAACAATATGAGAGTGGTATTAAGAACTATAGAAACTAAAATAAGAAGGTATACCTCTAATAGAACTTTTAAAACAAGGAAGAATAGAGAGAATGAGAATATTTGAAGAGCTACTAGTTAGGACAATCCAGGAATGATCAAAGAAACCAATGCTCATAATCAGAATTATCAGTGAATCCCAAATAGAGAAATAAAAAGGAATAGCCTGGAACTTTGTGGTAGAACTGTAGAACCCGAAAGACAAAAAGACGGTTTTTAAAAACCTTTAGAAAGAAAATTTAAAAAAGAATCATGAGTGGGATGCTTGGGTGACTCAGTTGGTTGGACATCCAACTCTTGGTTTAGGCTCAGATCATGATCTCAGGGTGGTGGGATTTGGGAATGAGCCCCACAAGGGGCTCAACATAAAGTCTGCTGGAGATTCTTTCCCTTTCCCTCTCCCCCTACCACTGCTTCTCCCTCTGCTTTTGCTCTCTCTCTCTCAAATAAATAAATAAAGTCTAAAAAAAAAAGAAGAATCATGATTCGACAGATGAATTCTTGACAAGATTAATGGAAGTCAGACAGGTCTTCAGAGTCCTGTCACCCTAAAATTGTATAGCTTGTGAAAATTTCTTTAAACTTCTAAAAAGACTCTTAATATAACTTTTTTAAAAAGATTTTATTCATTTATTTGAGAGAGGGCAAGAGAGAGAACATGAGCAGAGAGGAGGCAGAGGATGAGGGAGAAGCAGAGTCCCCACTGAGCCGGAAGCCCAATGTGAAGCTGGATCCCAAGGACCCTGGTTGCTTAACTGACTGAGCCACCCAGGCACTCCAAGAAATAAATTTCTGTTGCTTATAAAAAAGAAAAAATGAATCCAGCTGTCTTCTATTAAAAGATTTGCAAAAATATAAAACAATGCCATAATTCCCATCAACTTTTTTTGGTTTTAGAAAATACAGTTTTTTCCATAAAAATATATTGATGCTAAAATGTAATGGGTTGATCGCCTGGGTGACTCAGTTGGTTGGGCCACTGCCTTCAGCTACCATCATGATCCCAGAGTTCCGGGATCGAGTCCCACATCGGGCTCCAAGCATCACAGGGAGCCTGCTTCTCCCTCTGACCTTCTCGCCTCTCATGCTCTCTCTCTCACTCACTCTCTCTCTCAAATAAATAAATAAAATCTTTAAAAAAAAAAAGAATGGGGGGGCGCCTGGGTGGCTCAGTGGGTTAAGCCACTGCCTTCGGCTCGGGTCATGATCTCAGAGTCCTGGGATCGAGCCCCGCATCGGGCTCTCTGCTCGGCAGGGAGCCTGCTTCCTCCTCTCTCTCTGCCTGCCTCTCTCCCTACTTGTGATCTCTCTGTCAAATAAATAAATAAAATCTTAAAAAAAAAAAAAAAAAAAAAAAAAGAATGGGTTTAAAGTTATTATTTATAATTAAATAACAAACTTGTTTATATTTTCTTTTTTTAATTTTATTTTCTAATATAATTAACAAACAGAGTTATATTAGTTTCAGGTATACAATACAGTGATTCAGCAATTCTATGCATTTCTAAGTGTTCATCAAGGTAAGTGTACTCTTAATCCCCTTTTCCTCTTTTCATCCATCCTACCTCCTCCCACCTACCTCCCCTTCGGTAACCACCAGTTTGTTATTTATATTTAAGAGTCTGGGGGTACCTGGGTGGTTCAGTTGGTTAAGTATCTGCCTTTGGCTCAGGTCATGATCTCAGGGTCCCGGGATAGAGCCCTACATCGGGCTCCCTGCCCAGTGGCAAGCCTGCTTCTCCCTCTCCCTCTGCCTGCTACTACCCCTGCATGTGCTCTCTCTGTCTCTCTCTCTCTTTGTGTCAAATAAACAAAATCTTTTAAAAAAAATAGATTCTTATATTTAGGAGTCTGTTTTTTAGTGTGTTTCTTTATTGTTTGTTTTGTTTCTTAAATTCCACATATGTGGTGGCTCAATCAGATAAGTATCTGACTCTTGGTTTCGGCTCAAGTCGTGATCTCAGGGTCGTGAGACAGAACCCCGAGTGAGGCTCCATGCTCAGTGCTGACTGCTTGAGATTCTCTCTCTCCCTTCCCCAAATTCTCTCCAAAATAAATAAATAAATATTTTTTTAAGATTCCATATATGAATGAAATCATATGGCATTTGTCTTTCTCTGACTTATTTCACTTAGCATTTTACTCTCTAGGTCTTCTGCAAATGGCAAAATTTCATTCTTTTTTATGACTGAATAATATTTTATTTTTCCTATATAAAATTGTATTTTATAGATATACCATATATATATTATAATATATAATATATATAAAATATATATTTATGTATCCATTTATCTATTGATGGATACTTTGGCTGCTTCCACAATTTGACTAAATTCTAAATTCTTTCTTTGTTATTTGAGTTGGTGTAATTTCTTGCCCCGCAGTCAGCTCCCAACCTCCAGTCTCCATTAATAGGCTCAGAGGAGAAAGACCCTTGCCTGTGGAGTGTGGCAAAATCCATCCAAATTCTGGCTCTATCACTTAGCATATGTGTAATCTTGGACCCAAAGAGCTTCCTTCCTCCACAAAATAAAGATAATAAATCTCCAAAATATGGTTGGTGTGTCAATTAAATAATGACTATAAACAGGACAGTTGGAGTAGCAAGTGCCCAGTAGGTGCTCAGTGAAAGGAATGTGTTAATTCTTAGCCACTTAAGCTTCCTCCCTCTTATATTTCAGTGACCCTCCCATGATTTTTCAGGTTCTTTTATTCAAGCCCAATAATTTCTATGTTAAATATAGATATGCTATTTGTTGTCTGCCTCACATAGAGAAATCTTTTAAGTGAACACTTAATCGGGAAATGAGGCAAAGCTGGTTTGATGAAGTCCAGCTCTGTCCCCTGACCCCTATTTTCACCCTTTTCTTCTGTTCATCTTTCCGGAGCTTCTATCCTAGGTCCTCAACCCTCTCCATCCTTCACTATGCTTTTCACATGTTCCACTGGGGAATTTCTTGTTCTTCATCTGCATATACCGTTTTAGGAATCCCTCAATTTGAACAGGGAGAATTTGAAACTTGTATCTCAACTGCTGTCATCTCTGACTCCCTTTTTAAAGTTAAACTCAAGTTTCCATCAGCAGCACCACACACATTACATGACAATAAATAACACCAAGAAGACGGACACCAGAAACTTGACTGAATTCCATTTCCTCATAATAAAATCTAAACCTCTTGCCTCATCGTTACTATTCCTGCTAATTTCATGTTTATGTTTCCATCTACCCTTAAAGCTCTCACTCTAAAATTGTCCCAAGAATTCTCATAGTCCCACATTCCCATCGTCAGTGTGGTTGTATTTTCTTTCCAGACAAATCTACAGCTTTGTACTTTGTTTTGTTGACTCAGTTTCTGCTTCTCTGGGAAACACCTCACACACTCTTGCTTATTTCACTGGGATGTTGTGGGTGATGGCTGTAAATGGGCTTGGCTTTTTTCTCATGTCTATTTTACACCCTTACTTATCAGGGTCATTTAATCACTGTCTAGATCTCTGAGAATTTAAAAGCCTATAAAGATGTTTGAGACCGGAGAGAAAAGAATCTTGGCTCTGAAATACAAAAATAAAATAACTGTAAAGTCAAAACTGATATTTTATATTTTATTCCAATAGCAAAACTATAAAACTTCTTTCAAGTTTCAAAAGAAAAATCTTATGTGTGTGATGTGCTTCCATTTAGTACACTTGATATGTTGTGTCTTTGGGCAACTGATTTTTTTTTTTTTTAATTTATTTGACAGAGATCACAAGTAGGCAGAGAGGCAGGCAGAGAGAGAGAGGGAGGAAAGAGGAAGCAGGCTCCTCGCCGAGCAGAGAGCCCAATGTGGGGCTCCATCCCAGGACCCTGAGATCATGACCGGAGCCAAAGGCAGAGGCTTTAACCCACTGAGCCACCCAGGCGCCCCAGGGGCAACTGATTTTTGCAATCTTAAAGCATTAAGAAGAATTTTTCCCCTCTGATCTTCTTACCACTTTGAATCCAGTCCTATTTCATCAGGCATTTGTTGATGAACAAATCCTTCAAATTTTGCCAAATTTTAAACATTTAACAAATTAATTTTTCCTCCTATGTAACATGAAAAGAAATATCTACCACTCTACATTTCAGAACTTGTTTCTTTCTTTCAGATATATCCTGGTTCACTGTAAATATACTTCAGGCAATAAAGAAGTCTATCTACATAAACGTAGTCTATTTCCAAATATTTGCTTTAGGGATAATTTCTAAACCACATCTAGGCGTATCATCATTTCTTGGACACAACTGAAATTTCTTTCCACTATCATATATCTTTTTTCTAATATAGTCAAGCTGGCATGTGCTTAAATATTTCAGTTAAGTTCAGTTAAATACAATTTTAATTGAAGTGAGAAAAGAAATACCTGCTGTGCACAGAAGTGACACAAAGGGAAGATTAATCAGTTCTGCTGTTTAGAGAAGGGCATTTGGAATAACAATAACCAACAGCTGTTGAGGACCTAGTGTGTGATAAGCACTTTATAATACCATTTTCTAATTTATTTAACCTAAACTTCTCCACACTGGAATCTGCAAAGTTCACAGCAACAGTAGTAAGTTAATTTTTACTTATTGTTGCTCCCATGTTTCTGAAAATTGCTGGGCATGCCTTGCATATTGTCCAGTAAGCCTACTTATGCTGCGTATTGCTACAGGCACACAATGCATGAGGGTTCCTGGTGGGTCCTGGCCTTGGCAGGTGCAATTTGCTAATACACAGAAGTCCCCATCTGGGTGCTGCCACAGCTCCAGCAGGCCCTGACACAACCATCTGGGATCCCCAGAGTGCCAGAGCGGTGTGTCCATCTTTGGCCAAGTATGGAATAGCATCCCTCTCCATTATGTGATGGAGTCTATTACAGGGCTGCTAGGAAATGATAACTCGGGCTGAATATTCTGCTAACTGTCACATTGCTCTTTCACTTTTTCATTCCAGGCCTTTTTCTCCCCTGAACTAAAACATGTATTTATGGGCTGGTGCAGAATCAGATTTGAGTAATATGGCCACTGAGCTCTATGGTTCAGTGATGGGCAGTGTCCCTGAGAATGAATTACCCCCAACGTGGCTCTTCAATACCAGGTAAGTGGATATTGTTTGGGCAGATCCCATCAGTCATCTGGCACAGTGATCCATGTCCAGATTCCAACAAGGGACCCCACTAGGCTTATTGGTTAGAAGAGAAATTTAATTTATTTTAGAAATGAGAAAAATAAAGATCAGCAAATTTAGGTTATCTGCCTGAGCTCATAGGTTTAGGAAATAGCCAAAACAAGATTCAAAATCCAGCCCCAAGTTTTGTGGGTTTTGGGGGGTTTTGTTTAAGAATATCAAACTACTTCCTGGAACTCAAAGAAGCTCTTCTTTACCTCAGATATACCATTCTGTTCTTTAAATGCTTTTCCTGCCTTTCCAACCACCTGCTAAGGGAGCATCAATAAATAAAACCATCTCTGTTTCTGAGGAGTTCATACTTCAGGGAACTGATCACTGTCTTCTTTCCTTCTTTCCCAAACTATTATTTTAACCCATATAACAATGAGAAAGTAATCCCTCAGCCACCCCAGGGAGGAAAAACAAGAGTAATACCTGACTTCTCTATAGGAAAATACAGAGTTCCTTTTTCAGGACTGACACATCAGCCCAACTAACCTCTCTTTGGCAGCCTAGGAAATGGACTGTGCCTTTTTTTGTCTGTTGTGTTTGAGGTAAGAGAAGACAAATCAAGCCGTTTCTGGAAGGTAGACAATGTTGTTACAGCTGAGAAACACTACTACTACTGACTCCAACATTTACGTCCCGTTCATAGTATACAAACACAGCCACCTGGAGGGAGGAGCCAACCCAAGAGTCACGAGAAAATTTAACAGATTCCTAACTACTGCTGGCAAGTGTGTAACGATCACCTACGCCAGCCCTACCTGAGCACCAAGGAATACTGTACAACATGGGCTCGGGAAGGTGGGAGAGGAAACATTGCTCAAGGATTAAAAAGAGTTTCTCTTAGGATGGGGAAGGGGGAAGACCTCAGGAAAGGACTCTGATAAGGAAAAGAAATGAACTTGTCAGCCTGACCCATCTCAAGCTCTGGTGCTAACTTGGGAGATGCAGCCCTGGTCTGTGATAGTGATTCAGGGATCACCCTACCTTGTGACCTAGATAAGGTTCCTCTGAATCTCATTCCATTCTAGTAGAAAGTCTAAAAATCGTCCCCAGTGTTGCGTTAAATCCTGAAGTCTTGAGTTATCGTGATCATCTCTGACTTCAGATTCCTGCATTGGCAAATCACCCAGCTGTCCTGTTTCTGTTCTTACCCTGTCAGTCTGGATGCAGATCCAAGCACCTTTCCGTAATTCCCACAAAGTAGACAAGCGGTGGATGGCACAGACTTGACTGAAGTTTTGGGTTTTCAGTTTTAGATTCCCACTAGCATACAGTGATCACAAAGGGAGACATTTGGTCTTGCTACTATAATGTTGAAAACAATAAGAGAACGCTCAGAGAGAGTCAGCTGCATGGATAAAGTGAGGCATCTTGTCTTCAAGGAAAACACAAGCAACTTCTGTTTATGTTATACATCTTTGTTCTTAAAAGTCTTTAGCCTCATCCCACTAGGCCTTTCTCACTGGCCATTTTTTTCTATATCACTTCCAGCTGCGAGCCATTCTTCTTGTTCCTCTTCCCATCTCTCCTCCTTACTCCCTTTTTCCTGGATTGGCGCTGGGAAATTCAAATTTTCTGCATTTTATTATAGAAAGCTATTTGTGGGGCGCCTGGGTGGCTCAGTGGTTTAAAGCCTCTGCCTTCAGCTCAGGTCATAATTTCAGGGTCCTGGGATCGAGCCCCGCATCAGGCTCTCTGCTCAGCAGGGAGCCTGCTTCCTCCTCTCTCTCTGCCTGCCTCTCTGCCTACTTGTGATCTCTGTCTGTCAATAAATAAATAAAATCTTAAAAAAAAAAAAAAGAAAAGAAAGCAATTTGTATTCCCCTCTAATTCCCAAGGCTTAACATATCCAAAACCACTTGAGTACTCAGCAAAACCTCTTAGCCTTTTTGCTACCTAATCCATCTTGGCATTATGTTATCCTATGTGAACAAGACCAGGAAGTGCTTTGCAGGAAAAAAAAAAAAAATCAGTGAAGGCAGGAATCATTTAAAAGTATATATTTACACCTTACATTTTTAATTTTATGTCAAAGCATATTCATGTTCACTTATTCTCCAGTTGGTTAACATTAGGCCAAGGACTTCTCTTGGAGCAGGAGTCCCCCTGATTGGAGCTCTGAATCAGCTTTCTTAAGTAAACCAAACCCCTAGGGTATTTGCTTCAGATTTTTAGTGTTTGCTGTTTGAAGACAGTTGATGAATTCTGTAAGGGCAGATTATTTTTAGTTTTTTTTTTTATGTTATTCCCCAGTGTTTTATAGCAATCTTGCCACAGCAATTTTCTTAGTAAATTGCTTTTAAGATTTCCAACATTTTTCATAGCTATTTGTATCAGATTATATAACATTTAATTGAGGATATAACTTCATAAGTAAACTTGGCAAATTTAGACCCAAATGCAAGGGACCCTTACTAAACAAACAACTTCACTACAGGGAGCAGAATCATTTGTGACTTCTGGCTCCTGGCATCAGTGTGTGTTTCAGTTAATCTCGTGAGTCTATTTGGTCATCAGGTGAGAAATACGTCACTGGGGCGCGTGGGTGGCTCAGTCAGTTAAGTGTCTGCCTTGGGCTCAGCTCATGATCCTAGATCACCAGCCCCACATCGGGCTCTCTGCTCAGCAGGGAGCCTGCTTCTCCCTTTGCCTGCCCCTCTGCCTGCTTGTGCTCTCTCTCTCTCTCTCTGTCAAATCAATAACTAAAACTTAAAAAAAAAAAAAAAGAAAAGAAATATGTCACTGTTGCCATTTCTTCTCAATAAATTCAGATCAGAACTTCTAATGTTCTACTTACTTAAAAAATGGTCATGTTTTAGTTGCCTTAGTTGGTAAAATTCCTTTCGAAAACCTCATTTTTGCCTCTCCGCTGAGCTAACAAGACGGAGGAGGCCTCGGACTGCCGTGGAGTGCGGAGGTGCTGGGCTCCTCCAGCCCCGAAGGTGAGAAGGTGGGCTTAGCAGGAAGCCTGTAAGAGAGACCCAAAGTAGAAACAGAGAGTGCCACGTGCAAGCAGCTTATTCAGTTATCCCTTCCCGTATGGAGTCGTTTCCCTTCTTTTCTCCTGTCTTTGAGAGGTTTTGTTTCCCGATGGAGTGTGTCTTTAACTCTGCCAGCCCCAGTGTTTTATTATTTGCTTCTGACCCTTGAAACGCTCCGAGCAAACCTGCCTCCCTTTAATTATGATCTACGTGCTAGTGGTTTTAGGATCCGGGAAGAGCTGTTATCTTGGTCTTCCCGTTTGGAAATCTTTTCCTGGTTACATGCTGTAATCAGAGTATTCCCAGAACCACATGTACCTGTTTTCATATCTGAATTAAAAGCACCGGGCAGTTATCTACCTCATTTTCTCCACCCTAGACATGGCTTTCATTCATTTCTAGACCAAATGAACCAAAGCAAAAAGTCTGCTCTTTCTCCTACCATGGGAAGCGGCAAGAGCAACAAGTTAGAAAGCCACTGCTGGGTTCCAGCTTGGCCGCCAGATGCACAACATAAAACCGTTGCCTGTAGCAGAGGTTAATCCGCGCTGGGATGGCCATGTGCCTCTTTGCAGCCTGGTGTTCCAGTCTTCCTGACATCCACTAAGCCTCCAAGGAACACCCATTCCTGACCTGACCTTCTGACCTCTGCCAGTCACCCACCACCACCTGCCCCACCCATAAAATAATCCTAGCACCTTCAATCTAAATCAAAGCTAAGTTCGGTGAAGTCAGAGACTTCAGAAGACACCATGACTAAAGCTGCCCTATTCCACATCAACCATCCCACCAACATGGGCCTTTCGTGTCCCAACTTCTCCAGCATGCTTCATCCCCATACTAATATGCCGTGGTCAACAAATGCCTCAATATCTTGATCTCCTTATGGGCTCTTCCCTCAAACTCCTGGCTATGCTGGGATCAGGAGAGGTACCCACCTTAGGGATGGGGTACACACAGGTGCAAAGGCCCTGGTGACATGGTGTATCTTAAACTAGGTACATGAGTGTTCACTTTTTAATTTTTTAATTTGTATATATTCATTACAGACTATGTCTTAATATGAATTATCTACTTCATAATTTAACAATTTTTTTTTTAAACCAACCTCTGTTTCTTTGAGGCAAACACCAGCCAGCTATGGTACTCTCCATCCCTTTTGGTCAACCCCTGTTGAGTGCCAAAATACTGGTTGTTCTCCCTCATTTATTGTTACATGAATATCCTCCCATAACCCTACCTTTTTCTGGTTACCCATCTCTTTCTCCCCTCTGCTTCTGGTAAGAGAAGCATAAGTTGTGCTTGTTTTCAATAATTGAGTACATTTCCAGAACGAGCCCTTCCTTCAGGTTCCTATCTACTATAAAATGTTGAGAATCACAACTAGTACCATTCAGTTTTACTAATCCCTTCTACTAAGTTTTGGTTAATTGAGTACCCAGAATGCATTTCTTAATCTACCTGGGATGAACAGTAGAACAAGCTAGGCTAAATCAGGGTAACCAGAGTGTTACATCAGGCAATCACTGTCCTATCCCAAAGGCCTGAAGACTGACTTCTCATCATCACTCTCAGGATCTCTCTCAAGTCATGTCCTAAGGAAGTCCATTCTCCCTGTAGGCCCTGCAATGCGGGAGGATTACTTGGTGTGGGGAAAGACCACATACCTGGGGTCAGAATATGGGTGTAGTGTGAGAGTAAAGGAGAAATAGGAGTTTTTCTTTTATGGATGTCTTTTCTTTTTCTTGCCTGATTGCTCTGGCTAGGACTTCCAGTGCTATTTTGAAAAAAAGTAGCAAGAGTGGGCATCCTTGCCTTGTTACCAGATCTTCAAGGGAAAGATTTCAGGTTTTCCCTGTTATTTTAGCTGTGAGATTTTCATTGATAGCCTTTATTGTGTTGAGGTAAGTTTCCTTTACACTTTTCTATTGAGAATTT